TCTTTCAGTTGTTTCTCAAAATGTAGTAATTGCTCCTGTTCTTTTTTCTTAAGGATTGAACAATGTTGAATAATTCTACCTCTTAGAACCACTTTAAAGGCCTCCCAGGAGATGTGAGGGTCAGGGTAGTCTTCGTTATATGTCCAGTATTCGTCCATCGCAGATTTTATGAACTGGCATGACGTATTCTCCTGCAGTAATGAATTATTAAAACACCACAAAAACTTTTAATTTCACACTCATCTACTTTAAATGATATATCCACTGGTGCGTGATCAGATAGTGATATGTTTCCAATTGTAGCAGCCAAGATTTGATTCACCATGTTTTTAGTTATCAATATATAGTCTATTCTAGAGAATGATTGGTGACGATGAGAGAAAAATGTGAAGTCTTTTTCTATTGGGTTAAGTAAGCGCCATATGTCAATCAAGTTAAGTTCTTCTGTCATTATATCTATCGCACTGCAGGAGGATATGTTTTTCATGCCACTGGTTTTATCCAGCGTACTGTAGGATCTCTGACCCGGTTAAAATCTCCTCCTAGTAAAATCTTTTCATTGCCAATGTCTTTCAATGTTTTACATATATTATTAAAGAAATTTGGCGAAAAGACATTAGGGGCATAAATGTTCATGATGGTTATTTTTTGTTTATTTAATAATGTGTCAATGGCAACCCATCTACCCTCTGTGTCTGTATAGCTCCCCAACACTTGAAACTCAGAATTTTTGTGCAGTAGGATTGCGACCCCCCTACTTTTTGTATTATAGACACTTGAAAATACCTGACCGACCCAGCTTTGTTTCAACTTTTCTGATTCTTTTTTATCCAAATGCGTTTCTTGTAATAATGCTATATCACATTTACTTTGTTTGAGATAGTTCAGAATTTTCTTACGTTTAATTGGGTGGTTGCAACCTGAGATATTCCAGGAAACCAGCTTCAGTCCCATATTTAAATTTTGTTGTTGGTAAGATTAGACAGGTACGGTTTCTTTATTACTTGAGAAAAGTAGAAAAGAGGCCAGGGAGCCATAATAACCCATACAAATAAACACATTATAGAAACCCAAACCTGGAGACGAATATCCCAAATTCCCCATTTATCCCCCCCCTCCCTTCCCTACCATGTCCTGCCACCCAGGCAAGACCTCCCCCCCTTTAACATTCATTCTTCCTATTTTGATGTTTTAACAACCTGATATTGGAATGTAATTTAAGTTATCATTTTGGTAAATCATATGTGGCTATATGCTGAATGCGCTATTCTGTAATTCACTTCAGCTCCAGCAAAACTCCACGAGGTCTGGGGAGCTCATATGTTAAACACAGCATTCTTTGTTTACGCTAATACAGAGTGTCTTTTGTTGTGTGGGTTCTTCCTTTCCCATCTGCATACGAAGGTGTGTCTTGTTCAACCAAAAGGGGCTTGCATCTGTGAATCATCAGACTTGTCCTGAGAGAGGCTGGGGTCTGTGCCTTGCCTCTGTCAAGACATTCTCCTTGTACAATGTAACAAGTAAAAGATTAACTTTGTCTCTTTGTTGTGTGAGATTTCATCAGGTTCAACTGTAGTTGAAACAGCATTATCACTTGGTCCTTCGAATCCGGATCCCAACACTTCTTACAGGAGCTGAGCTTGTCTCAAACATGGACTTCCAGGAGCAACTACAGGGCCTTCTGCATTCGGAACTGCATTGGAACTCCAGGTTTGAGGCAGGACAGCCCTGGGTTGGAGTCGACGAGAGAACTACAGTTTTTTTTCCTGATGAAATTGCAACAAAGGCAAGTTCTAAACACTAAATTATGTCCAAAAGTAATCCAGGAAGTAGTGTGAAGTTCACATGAACACGTTCATTTAGGATAACGCAGAGTTATGCCTTTAGTCAAGGACTTTTACAGAGCTCGAATGAACGGGGTTTCATTCAAAAGGGTATTTTACTTTTTGAGTCGGGGATTCAAATTAAAAAAGGCCTGGGATAACGGGGATTATCCTTTTTAAATAGTCGGGGACTATATTGCAGACAGTCGAGGCCGGGATAACGGGGTTTATTTTTAAATAGTCGGGGACTATCATAGACTGTATAATAACGGGGTTATTATTAAGAGTAAGTCGGGGACTACTTTTTACTGCAGTTAAAAGTGAACGGGGTTCATTTTGAATTAAAGAACGCAGAGTTACGCCTGTATAATGAATGTGTTAGAATTGAATTACTTCGGACTGAACTTCTACATCACTTCTAAACTGAAATTGGACATTTAAAGATATCTCAATAAACTAAATTGAAGATGGATGTTTAAAGACCTTTAAATTACTCAAAATTTGGAATTGGACATTGTAAACGCACCTAAAAAAAAAAAAAGTTAAATTGCAAGCATTGTGTAGGGCGGCCATTTTGGGTGGCCATGTGGTCCTTTGTCCTCTGGCCATGTGTTTCTTTGTTTGTCTGTGTCCTTCTTTGTTCTGTGAGTCCTCTTCGTTTTCCTTTGTCAAAGTTTTCTTGGTTTAGAATTACCCTTCACCTTATGTTTTGATTCTGAAATGTCTTAACAAATGTGCTTCTTGTTTTTGAGAAAAATACCACATCCCTGCCAAAGCTTCAAAGCAACAAAATCCACCTATTTCCATTGTGGGACAGAAATCCCACCCCCATCGCCATCTCCATGCAGCCATCGACACCTACGAAACGACCCTCCACACAACCCCCCCCCCCCCCCCCCCCCCCCCCCCGCACCGGAAGCTGCTGACGAATAATCACGGGCCGATTTGCAAAGATCAAAGCGCGCAGGCCCACGGAGGGCGCTGGCCATTTGTTCAAGTTAAATGGACGTGAGAATTGAAGGTGACATCTTGGTACATTTGCGACTTGAAAGTTCAGCTTTGTGTCGCTGTTGGAGAACGGCTTGCTGCTAGTCTTGCGTCGGAAACGCAGACAGAGAAGAGTTTCGAAACAGGAACAGAGTGGACATTTCTGGTCATAACCAAACATGAGGAGGGGTCGAGAGGACGTGTCAAATGGACTGTGAAAATGGACTTTGGGTTTTCGGGCTTTTGGGCGTGTGCGTGGTGTTGAATTTGATAACCAAAGTTAATACATTTAAAGTTAATACATTTCAGAGTTAATACATTGTTCAGTTTTGAGCCATGTTATGTCTCAACAGGGGGAATAGTTTATGGAACAACAATGTGAAATTATACTATGACATTTTTTCTTTTTCAGTTTGGATGTGTGTTTTTTCATTTTCAGTTCTCCATGTTCTCCATGTTTAAACATAGATTGTTTGATTTATCAAAAGGATAAAAAGGAGGGAATATGATATTGGAATGTAATTTAAGTTATCATTTTGGTAAATCATATGTGGCTATATGCTGAATGCGCTATTCTGTAATTCACTTCAGCTCCAGCAAAACTCCACGAGGTCTGGGGAGCTCATATGTTAAACACAGCATTCTTTGTTTACGCTAATACAGAGTGTCTTTTGTTGTGTGGGTTCTTCCTTTCCCATCTGCATACGAAGGTGTGTCTTGTTCAACCAAAAGGGGCTTGCCATCTGTGAATAGGGTTGCCAACCGTCCCTTGAAATACGGAATTGTCCCGTATTATAGAAAAACTATGTGCGTCCCGTATTGAACTGATATGGGACGGCTTTTGTCCTGTATTTTCAGAGCCACCTTAAATGCATCACTCACTCACTGCATGTCACAGGCGCAACACACACACACACAGTAATGACCACAGTTTAAGCGTCTACCTTTCGGCCAATCAGGGTCAAATCTTGGCTTGATCACAGACGTTGGTTTAATGTTGACAATCGTCAGCGTGGGCCGTGCCCGCAGCATCATCACGGCAGAAGTTTGGTAAAGTAGCGTCATTTTCCCAGATTCGGACTTCTGCGGTCAATAGCTCACGAAAGATACTTTGTTAAACAAAAGTAATTGTACTAAAATGATCATCTCTACGTTGATTTCACAAATCCAGTGCGCTGTTTTAATGCAGAGAAATCCTTTGAATCCAATGCACTGCAAGCGCCTAGAAAAGCACTTAGGGACCGTCAACAAATGTCCAGACCAGCTTTGTAAACGAACAATAGCTTTTACTGAAGCCACAAACCTGCAGTACCTGCACAAAACTCTCAGACAATATAAATAATGATGACCATATCGAACTGCTACAGACTTTGATTTGTGAGTTCGTTTAATGAATACATATGTTGTTCTTTTTATATTTGCTTCTACAGAAATTGGTCTTTACTGTAACATTCATAAATAATGTATGTTACAGTATTTGTCTTTTTTATATTTTTTTATTACTAATAAGGATGCATTAAGTCCTTAACCAGCCAAAGAGTTCCACCTATTTATTCAATTTCATTTTTGACTAAGGATTTGTTTGTTTTTTTATATGTATTCAATAAATTACAATCTAAAAACTGTGATTATGAAATTCCATGATTACTGTGTAGACTGAAATTAGGACTAAAAAGTGCTCAACCCGATCCACCCAAATGATGTCCCTCATTTTTTTTGTTCTCAAGTTGGTAACCCTATCTGTGAATCATCAGACTTGTCCTGAGAGAGGCTGGGGTCTGTGCCTTGCCTCTGTCAAGACATTCTCCTTGTACAATGTAACAAGTAAAAGATTAACTTTGTCTCTTTGTTGTGTGAGATTTCATCAGGTTCAACTGTAGTTGAAACAGCATTATCACAACCCGAGTGAAATCTCCTTTAAACTAAGCTAAACTAGGTTAACTGAAAGATATTATATTGACCCTGCTTATTATTTGGGGTACAAATCAGGAAAGGCATGTATGCAAATAATATGCAGACCCCCGCAAGATAAATTGTTCAATACCAAAAGTAATAATTATCATTTACTCTCTTTCTTTCCCCACACCCCATTTGTCCATATTTGTTCAAACGTAGTTGTCTCCTACCAAACCTTATCTTCGGCTTGAGGCCATGTGCTGCTTGTGAAAAGTTTCATACCTATAGATGTCTTCAGCCAGAGGCTATGAACTGCTTGTAGTAAACAGTAGCGTCTTCACTGGAGCTGATCGTGCGGCTCTCTCCGTTATGCACAATCTTCAGCTGAGCTGGGTATAGCAAACGGAACTGCACCCCCTTTGCATAGAGTAGTGCTTTGATAGGTTTAAACTCAGCTCGTTTTTTCACTAGAGCAGCACTCAGGTCCGGGTAGACTCGTAATACATTGCCCCCAAACTTCATCTGATTCTGTCTGCTCCATCGCAGCACCGCTTCCTTGTCCCGGTAATGATGAAAGCAGGTGATGAATGGCCTAGTGAATTTTCCGGTGATTGGTCCTATGCGGTGTGCCCTCTCTAGTTCGGGTGGTGATGGGAATATGTCTGGTCCCATGGCGTCTTTTTGCAAATCAGAGAGAAAAACTATGTTGCCTTTACCATCCTCACTTTTCTCAGGAATGTTAAGTACACGCAGATTTGCTCTTCGCGACCGGTTTTCCAGGTCTTCAACCTTGTTCAGAAGGGCGCTGTTATATTTCTCCAAAGAGTGGATTTGGTTGTCCACTTCAATTAGTTTTTCAAAGTTTTCTCCCACACGTACCTCAGTTGATGCGAGGCGCGTGTGAAAAGCCTTAACATTCTTGTTCAGAGAGTCCACCGAGGCTTGAAGCGGTTTAATCGATTCCTGGATCAAGGCGTGCATGTTGGCTTGGTGTTTAGCCAGTTCAGCCATGAGAAGTGACATGGAGAAGGCATCTTCACCGCTGTTTTGTGTAGCACGGCTATCATTAGCTTCCTCTCCACTGGCAGCTAATGCTTGACTAGCCATGGTGGTAGCTGTCGCGGCTGCCGTTGCCGCTCTCGTCTTGGTAGCGCCCGAAATTGTGTTCTTCTTGCTCATTACTTTCTTAGGTTATGGGGGTGAGTTTTAGGCATTGATTCGTAGAGTAGTATACAGCAGTAACTTATAGTTCAGAGGTATTCCACCTTGGGTTTTCTACGCGCTCATTACATCGCGTCAGGTCCTTACCGGAAGCTTAGGTCCAAAATTATTATGAAAAACGGTAACATTCAAATATGGGCACTAAACTGGAAAAACTACGATAAACTGACTTTATGTCTAATGATTTTTGACTTTCCTTCAAATACCTCAAAGATCATGTTCAGCATGGTCAGGATGGCCGTGGCATGTTCAGCATGCTCAGCATGGGCATGGCCAGCATGGGCATGGCATGGTCAGCAGCGTCAGTCAGTCAATGATTATTATGGTAATATATAATTGGGCACAATAATCATTAATGTGTAGTCATTGTTGTCTTCAGTGGCATAACCAGAAAATCAAGCAAAGGTACATAGATTGACAAATATTTATTTTGTTTTTGGATTTCTCCCGAGGTGGGCCCAAGGCACAATGTTGGATTGAAATATGGTAGCTAGGCTACACCACAGACAAAGTATGTGTAAGCTCTCAGTCGTACAGGGATTAGTCAAAGCAAAGGAAGGTTTCTCACCCATCATCTGTACTTCTTAGCAAGTTTTCCCGACGTTTCGTCCTCAAACTAGCAGACTTCTTCAGGGAATGAATTCTCGGACCGCGCGTTGGAGATTTATAACCTATGGGTGTGGTTAGCCACACCCTAATCCTGATACAAACTCATAAACAATCTAAGGTCTGCTTGATGTAGAAGGGAGCAGGTCTAACGACCCTGCTGAGGCTAACGACCCTAACTCATTAGCATGTCACAGACCTATTGTCTGCTGGGATGCTCAAGTGGAGTGCAGGTTTCACCCCTCCTAACTCATTAGCATGTCACTGACCCTGTCCCAAGTTAGGGCGATGTTTTTAGGATGTCGTCATAGATGCGAGGCAAAACAAATCTTAACCCTCCTCCTCTGTTAAGAGAAGGTTTTTGTTTCCTCACAAAAATGGCTTCTTTCACTCCTCTCTCAAACCAATTCTTCTCCCGAGCCAGAATTTTAACCTCTGTGTCATCCACCGTGTGGTTGGAGGCCTTGAGGTGGAGATGAACAGCCGACTGTGGCCCACTAGAGTTTTCTCTACGATGTTGGTAAAGTCGTTTCTGTAGAGTTTGTTTGGTTTCTCCAATATATGGTCAGTGCAAAAGACCACTTGGGGTAGCCACATCGGGAAAGTGCTCTCTGAACAAACATGTTCAGAGAGCACTTTCCCGATGTGGCTACCCCAAGTGGTCTTTTACTAAAGCCCAAAGGACGAGAAAGGCCAGAGACACAGTCCAACAGACAGAAGAAAGTAGGAGGAGATGGGTGTCCTTACCGTATGTGGCGGGAGTTTCAGAGAAACTACAAAGAATCTTTAGGCAACACAAAATCCCTGTGTATTTCAAACCTTTCAACACGTTAAGACAGAAATTAGTGCATCCCAAAGACAAAACACCCAGACACAAACAGAGCAATGTGGTGTATTCAATTAAATGTAGTGAAGAGGAGTGCACTGACCACTATATTGGAGAAACTAAACAAACTCTACAGAAACAACTTTACCAACATCGTAGAGAAAACTCTAGTGGGCCACAGTCGGCTGTTCATCTCCACCTCAAGGCCTCCAACCACACGGTGGATGACACAGAGGTTAAAATTCTGGCTCGGGAGAAGAATTGGTTTGAGAGAGGAGTGAAAGAAGCCATTTTTGTGAGGAAACAAAAACCTTCTCTTAACAGAGGAGGAGGGTTAAGATTTGTTTTGCCTCGCATCTATGACGACATCCTAAAAACAAAGCCCTAATTTGGGACAAGGTCAGTGACATGCTAATGAGTTAGGAGGGGTGAGACCTGCACTCCACTTGAGCATCCCAGCAGACAATAGGTCTGTGACATGCTAAGGAGTTAGGGTCGTTAGCCTCAGCAGGGTCGTTAGACCTGCTCCCTTCTACATCAAACAGACCGTAGATTGTTTATGAGTTAGTATCAGGATTAGGGTGTGGCTAACCACACCCATAGGTTAAAAATCTCCAACGCGCGGTCCGAGAATTCATTCCCTGAAGAAGTCCGCTAGTTTGAGGACGAAACGTCGGGAAAACTTGCTAAGAAGTACAGATGATGGGTGAGAAACCTTCCTTTGCACAGACAAAGTATTTTTCTAGCTTCCCCATGGCGATGGGGTGTCCAGTACACTGGAACCTATTTACACCCACGTCTATAGCATTTCTCTATCAATATTTATATTTCTTAATGTTCAAATATGTTCATAAACTGCTGCTTGATCATCCTACCGGGATTTAAAATCTTATCACATTCCTCTGCAGTTGTTGGTAGAACTGCTGCTACTGCTACTCCAGTTCATTCATGTGTCTGAGGAGATGAAACTGGAATATCAGTCGGTTATCATGTCGACTGGTGTGAGCGCAACCACTTGTGCTTGAACACCAGTAAGACCAAGGAGATGGTACCTGTGCTTGAACACCAGTAAGACCAAGGAGATGGTACCTCTGCTAACACCAGTAAGACCAAGGAGATGGTACCTGTGCTAACACCTGGAAGACCAAGCTACCATATTTCCATCCAACATCGTGCCTTGTGAGAAATCCAAAAACAAAATTAAAAAATATTTACCTTTGCTTGATTTGGCATAAAAAAAAAAAAAAGTTTCTGGTTATGCCACTGATGACAACAATGACTATACATTAATGATTATTGTGCCCAATTATACATAACCATAATAATCATTGACTGACTGACCATGCCACACCCATGCTGACCATACTGACCATGTTGACCATGGTTGATCATACTGACCATGTTGACCATGTTGACCAGGCTGACCATGGTTGACCATAGCCAGTGATGGGAATAACGGCGTTACTAGTAACGGCGTTACTAACGCCGTTACTTTTTTCAGTAACGAGTAATCTAACTAATTACTTTGACTGTAACTATAACGCCGTTATCATTTCCGACATCCCGTTACTGCGCGTTACTAAAGACGCACAATGAACTTCTCTTTTTACTTCGTGATAGGACTCGTGCGCGTGTTGTCATGAGAGAAGGGAGGATGAGAAAACCTCTCAGCAATTATTGGCTGATGTAAAACATATTTCCTTTACAATCCACATGTCTACGGTTGAGAGGATGGCTCATAAATTGTGTTTTTGAAACAAATATGGGTCTTAATCGCGCTCAACCACGGCTTGTATCACCGTGAGGGCTCAGAGGAGCGCATGTGAGCGCAGAAGTCGGCTGCATACAATTCCATCAGAAAGCTCCTTTCTCTTCCTGGTTTATCTGCTAAGGGCTGCAACAAGTTTGGCTAACATACATATAACACATTTTAAGATAATTTAAAATGCACTTACGGTAATTTTTCAATTACTATAGGAATGATAAGAAAGAGAGGTGAAGTGTAAGACGGTTGATTTTAGAAATTGGATGCAGCCGGCTGCAGCAAAACAGAGTAGTTTACGGAGGACACACCATGGATGTATTATATTAACTGGATAGGGTATTACTAGCTTGTAGCTGAATAACTCACGTGCTCAGGGGATTAAACTCGCAGTACTGGTCTGAGCCATACTGAAGTTGTCTGTGCAGGGCATTTTATATGGTAGACCATATATCATAGGTTTGCGATTTTGTATCGGAACATAACAATGCGGCCTTGAAACATATTTTGACTGTAGCCAAACAAATGGTCCACCTTAGATTGATATGATAAACTATGTTCTGCGGATTGGGATGAAGTCAGTGCGTACCAACCGGTGGTTCCACAGTTCACAGTGGACGGTGTTTTTGTGTTAGTGCTTACAGCACAGAGGGAGATGAAGACGTGAACAGGACTTCAGGCAGCCAATTGCAGCCTTTTATAGATGGTCATATTGGTCCATCTCTTTCAGGACTCTCTGGGTAAAGGTAAAAATGCGCACGTCGGGTGCACATTATGTTCCAGAACAAAACGAAAAAGTAACGCAATAGTACTTTTACTTTTACTGGTAACTAGTTACTTTTTTAGTGGAAGTAGTAACTCCGTTAGATGAACTCAGTTACTTTTTGGGAGAAGTAACTAGTACCTATAACTAATTACTTTTTCGAAGTAACGTGCCCAAAGAATTAAAATACCTTTCGCCCGCATCACGAAACCCGTCACAAGGAGTATGCAAGCTGGAAAGGGGCAGCGAGAAGATGACAAAGGTTCGGCAGATTGAAAGGTGGGATAGGGGGGCAGCTCAGAAGGATGCCCTGCTCCGTCAAATCTGGGCCTAACCTGGGGCTGCTCCCGAGCAAGGCTACACAAGCAGCTAACCTAAACTGGGCTATTCCCGGCATGCCGTTCACCGGACGGTGATTTCGGAAGGCTATGATGCTGGGCTGTGTCTGAGGATGTGTGCCCCGAGAGACGGATACCTTCAGAGGGGTGAGTCTCTCGGCACAAAGATGCACTAGGCAGAATTCGAGGAGTGGGGGGGGAAAACGTCCTTGTCCAACTCAGAGTGAAAGCGAAAAAGATTTTGTTTTTTTTGCTTGCATGGATGAGGAGTAATGAAGTGAAGATGACACGGCACAGCTACTTGATTGTGATTCCGTGGTGGGATCGCTCGTTTGAGGGTATCAGAGGAGCTAGCATCTCTGAATGTTTAAAACAGGGACAAACAAGGGTGAAAACATATATTCGCCGAATGTTTGCAAATACAACCTGGACGAGCTTGTCTGAATGGACGAAGTTTGCCAGTGTTATCAAACAGTGGTAGCGCCTTGCAATGGGGGATCGACAAGGGGGTGCTAGTAGGGAGCTTGATAGGCGAGTATCGTGGCAGCGACGTCCGCGTCCAACGATTCCAAGTTCACTGTTTGATCCACCAGCAAGCGCTGTGCTGCAAAGTGTTTAAGTCCCGGCGCGTCTGTGATGATGGTGGTCGTGCACGTGGGTCAACTACATTCCGGATTAAATGGGCTGAAACACAGGCAGTTCCAGGCCTTTCTCTCCGAATTGGGGTATGCCTACCAGGTTGGGCTGTACTACACACTGAGAGTCGAATGGCCTAAGTCTCGAGGCAAAAGTATTGCGCCGTTTCTACGACCCATGCTTGCCCGAATTTGAATACCCTTCCTCCAGTCTAAATGTTTGAAACGTTCAGGGGAAGCTGACGGACACGGGGTGGAAATGGGACCCTCGCCGGTTTTTAAATGATGTGGACTGAAGTGTTGAACCACCTCAACACTACAGCTCCCAGGCCAAAGGGATAGCTCCACCAGTGACATGGATTCCCACCATAATAGGCCCATTCGGGTCAAACTGCAGCTCCTTCTGCGGTCAGGTCCAAAAGCTGGATTCACACATTCAGTCCATGCCTCCCAAATGTACTGCGCCGAGGAAACCAGCTGCCCCTTTCCCTGTCGCGAAGTGCAAGGATGCCCTGGAGATGCTGCAGCGATGAGTTGCAGTGTGCAAGCGTCCGACGAGCTTCATGTCAACTCAACTAAAGAACATTGTCGGTTCCAAGTATCCCGTTTGCTGCTGACATAGACGAAGCACGGTCCCTTCTTCCGTTTGAACTAGCCGAGCTCAGGATTGGTGAGTCCTTAAAGACGTCATTTCAAGCCCTGACAGCCTACTTGGAGTTCTATGCTGCTCTACCTGAGTTCACGACCCAAACTAAAAAAACTTGCTTGAGGATGTGCACAGTATTTGGCAGAACCTCAGTGTGAGCAGACGTTTCCCGCATGAAGCTAATAAAAAATACAACAAGGAACAGACTCTCAGTTGAACCATTTGCACTCAAAATTTGTGACTGGAATACCATAGGCTTACCCTGACAATCGGATCTCGCTTCGCCAGAAGCATGGGCACACAGTCACACGGTGAGGTAAATATACAGATTTTTATCTATTACATATTTGATTGTGGACTGTAAATCATGATTATATAAACAAGGACTACTGCCTTTTTGTTCTTGATATGAGAGTGTTTTCATTCCATGTTAATTGATAATGCTACACCTGTGGCCTATTTTGTATAATCACATCTATGGAAACCCAACTGGACCCAGCATATCTATGTAATTATGATTCAACTGAATTTGTCAATCTCTATCCCTTTTATGCCAGGGTTCCAGGCAGCAGGCTGAGGGGACTGCAACTGCTGACATCAAAGATACACTGCCCATCACTTACTGCCCATCCCAACCCTGCATCCCACCTATTTCCCCATCCCCCCCCCCCCCCCCCCCCCCCCCCCCCCCCCCCCCACCCCCCCCCCTCCAACCACCTCACACCCCTAACCCCAATCCCCACCCCCCCCCCCCCCCCCACCCCCCCCCCCCCTCCGCCCCCACCCCCCCCCCCCCCCCCCCCCCCCCCACCCCCCCCCCCCCCCCCACCCCCCCTCCCCCCCCCCCCCCCCCCCCCACTCCCCCGCCCCCTCCCCCCCCCCCCCCCCCCCCCGCCCCCCCCACCCCCCCCCGCCTCCACGTTACTCTGTTATTTGTTACTATCTTCCGAGTTGCAAATTGCTACTGTCTCGCATTCCTCTCAATCTCAGCATCTCTTCTCTCTCCTTCTCATCTCTCTCTCGTCTCTCTCTCTCTCTCTCTCTCAGCATCTCTCTCAGCATCTCTCTCTCTCTTTGAGATCTCTCTCTCTCTCTCACTCGTCTCTTCTCTCTCTCTCTCTCTCTGCCACTGCCCCTCATCTCATATCTATTTCAATGGGTTTTAATCACTTTTAGGTTTGTTGATATAATGGTCATGGGCAAACTTTGTTTTATAATATTATTATTGGTCAATTTTGATTTCATGATCTACATGTGAGCTATTAAGGCATATGAAGTTCTGTTTGTTGTTGCTCTTTCTGTAATTTAAATGTTTTTAATGCATTCAGTTTATTGACCTGTCTGGTGCCACTTAATTATAACTCATCAATTAGGCATTCCTACGTTTGTTAATTTTTCCTAACTAGTGTGAATGAACCAGAAGTTTCTTGTCTTGATTGTTTCTCATTCACTGGAAGTTAAAACTGGCCTTCCCTGTTCTTGTATCAATCATAAACTCCAATCACCCATTTTTTTCTAACCTTTCACTGCATGTTTACATGGTTGTTATTAGAAATATAAAAGGAATACCTGTGGTATTTCAAATTGGAAAAAACGTGAAGAAAACTCACTTCTTTTGTAAATCACTTGTAATGATGAATATTTTGTGCTTGAATTTTGGCTATAACTGGGCGTGGCCGAGGTATACTGCCCATATGATGATCCCGGCCACTTAACACAGTCAGGTCGATAATGTGGCTCCCAGGAGAAAAAGTTTGGGGACCCCTGGTGTAGAGGATGAGCAGGCTTGTAGATCTGGCAGCAGCGGCCGGGTCTACCACAGTGAATTTTCGCGAAAAGCTCCATAACAATAAAACAATCAACTTCACAAAAAGTTATGAAATAAGCAGCAGATTTAAAAAGAAAAAGCTACGCTTTTTCTTGTACTAATCCATTTGGGTTTCTAAAACATACTAATTCAAAACTTCTATTCACTAATGGTGTTTAAAAAAATGTTTAACTGTGTAATAACACAAGGGGTCAATTGCAATTCGCAAATTTAACGGAATAACTACAATTGAAAGCCACAATCCTAAAAGCAGTTGCTCTGTTTCAGAGCCTGAGCAGTTAATAGGAGGGGGCCGTTTCCCTGAATCGGCAGCAGATAGAGCGACGCACTCGACAGGCAGAAAGTAGGGTTTTTAGCTAAAATGCTAAAACAGAAGAAGATAACTTTCAAGAAGCGTTATTCTTTGTAATAATTAAGAATACAAATCCTGTTAACATTGACCCTTTTTTGGGCAGGAATGCACTTAAATGAAAATGTCAAACGTGGGCAAGATTCTTCAAAGGGCAGTCTTTATTCAAAGTTCCAACCCAAAGTACAACAAAGGAAAGCAAACAGTTCACCAAAGCCAACACTTGGTAAAGAAATAATACTGTACAAACATTACAGTACAATAACTTAATAATATATTATTACAGAGGCTGACCAGGACAGAAAGCCAACGCACTGGCCTTCAGGATCTGTGACCTCTTCGCGTATCCTGAGCACATCACATGCAGGAATGACCTGGTTCCCAGTCGTCCCGAGCACCAGCTAACCAACTCCACAAATCTGAGACTCCTGTGGAGTTGGACACGTATGTTAATTATTGTAATTTGCTGTTTGCGTAGTGTACTGTAATGTACTGAAATGTTTTGTCCCTTTGTCTGTTTCATGGTGTGACGACGAGACCATTTGCACCTGCTGACTGTCCTCCTTCAGCCCGACTCGTGGGCTGCACCCCTGCCTGGGAGCTGCCTCAGTCCTCGTTCTGCTGCCCCAGTCCCGCCCTGCGCCCTGGTCCATGTTCTGTAGCTTAGGTTCTGGATCTATAGCCTGTCCGTCCGTGAGGAGCGGATCCCTTTCTCAATGTGGTCTCCCTCAAGGTTTCTCACTTTTTTCCCACTGGGTTTTAGAGTTTTTCCTTGCCGATGTAGGAGGGTCTGTTAGACAGTTAAGTGTCTAACAAAAGGACTGGTGATGATCCAGGACACTTTAACATTCTACAACATTTATGGACATTTTTTTCTCCTTATGGATCAATGGTTCTGTGTTGTTTTGCATTTCATGTGTTTAAGTGTTCCTCTCAGATTTGTGTTTTGAAAGATATACAATGTATTGTGTGCTTTGGATGTGCCTGATATTTGTTAAATGAATTGATTTCTGAAAATGAAGTCTCCACGCTCTTTCAACATTATCAATATATTTATTTGACAGGGACAATGCAGACACAGTCATAAACAAAGCTTGCAGCTGATGTGATGAATGTAGTTTATAGCAGATGCCAATTCACAACTCCTGTCCCTGGTTGGGCCTAACCAATCAAAGTCAATACAATTCCTACATTTCTAAAAATACACTTAGTTTACAGCCTACAGACTTGATTGATCCACACAAAAAAACTACAAACGTGTTTTCTCTTGTATTTAAAGCTTGACATCAATGCGGGAACTTTACATCCTTCAGCAGGAAAATCTACACAAATTCAATTCAATACCACAGCCCATTTTTTATGCACAACCTAACATAAAACCCATGAAAAAACCTTTGATTGGTTCCAATTTAAATGTTACTCACCAGTGTTGTTCATTTCTTTAATAGAAAGGATGCACCCGATCTTTCATCTGGGAAACTAGTCAAAATTCATCAATCCACGAATGAATTACATTTCAAAGGACAACATGGCCATGGCATGTAATCTCTGTGGTTACTGGTGATAATAATCCTGTGGTTGTTGTCATGGATCAGCTGCAGCAGAGTCTTGACAGTAAAAGTTGCACTATATATCCAAATGGCCATATTTTTTTTTTTGCAACTTCGAATTCATCCCATGAAAATTATTAACTGAACTGACAGAAAAGTGTGCAGTCCACAAGCTGTGCTGCTGCAGGTGATCGCTGCATTAAATTAAATTTATTATTTCCATTATCAACATTCATCCAGTTGTAAGCTGTAGAGTTGCCACAGGACGCTTCATCAGCCTACGTCAGCTGCCAGGACTGCTATCATAACATAAGCATAGTGGTTTCATAGGTGCAGTTGACTGCTTAAACTAAACTTTACCCGAAAGTTTGACTCTTAAAACCCACATGTGCCAACACGGAACCATCAACATCTCGCCTCAAATTGCATTAAAAGTGACATTTGTGTCTTATTTCGTTCGTATTATAACTTTTAAAGGAATTCACGGACTTTCTGTCCGCCATCTTGGTATGCTTTGGTTGCCGTGAGACGCGCATGCGCGCAGGTTTGCATTACATCATTAACAGCTGAGCATTACATAAGCGTCACTTTTTGGCAGAGCGGCACAACTCGGCAGAACACCGGCACAAAATGAAGATCCTGGTCGTTTGTTCTTCCTCTGATGAAGAACCTGTGGATGTCTCTATTGTTCTCGACAGCAAGGAGATTGTGACTGGATGTGGAAATACTGCAAAGGCATGTGCACTGCTAATGGGTCTAATATATTCCCTCAATCTTGCTTATCCTACAACACTACGATACACCTTCGAAGTATTTCAGAAGATTTTCTTACATTTAGATGCATTTAAGCCATCCCTGAAAATACAAACACTGAAAGTCAAGCTACTGTCCAAAACATAAGAGAAGCAATTTTGTTCAGCATAAGAGAAAAGGCCACAGATTTTATATAATTTGATGTTGTTACTTTAGCTTAGACTCTAGCTTAGACTAGAATATGAAAATTAGTCATTAAAACATGGACATGTTAAATTAATTGACTATTCTTGAATCTAGTAACTCCTCATGTAACAGTGTTTTAATTAGGGAAAATGTGAAAGAGCTCGGCCACTTCTAAAATTACCTCGGTCTGGAGCCATTGAGATTTACTGCGAGAGGCTAATGCTACAACATCCTGGTCTTTAGCTGAACAGAGGCTCAAAGACCAGGCAGGTGCATCATCTCATCTAAGCTAATGACATTTAATTATAGAAAATCAATGGCCTATCTCTATACCATTCCCATTGCATCCTTTTTGTGATAATTAAGTTTTCTGTTGTCATGTGTTCTGCTTTTAAGGTCAGCTTTAGTTCATCTTTTAGTTTTCATTGTTGATGTGTGAACTTAAAAGTTTGTCAATAAAACAGGTTGTTAAATGTTGATATTTGCATATTGTTTTTTCTTATTAATTCAATAATAATGTAATTGTTACACACATATAGTACTTAATAAGTATTATTGCAATGATATGAAATATACTGATAAAATATAAATAACATTTATTCAAGTTATCCATTATTGTAAATGATCTGTACACATAATGGTTACTCAGTATATCTATTTCACACATAAATAAACCTAAAAAAATCACATTTGTTAAGTAAGGTTTACTTACAAATAACATTCAGATTATACTTGATGAAATAAAAAGTTTTACTTGATTTATAGTAGTAATCTTTAATTATATCTTCGTGCAAATACTTACGAGGATTTTTTTAAGTAAATGTTAATCACGATTTTTTTCAGTGTATAACGTAAACTTTTGCATCACGTTGGTGATCTTTCCAAAAAGAGAGAATATCGTTATGGAAAGAGAAACTATTGGTAATATAACGCTGAACGTTATTTGACTCAAACAGCTTGGAACAATTGGATTACAAAATTGGACACATTTGGAACAATCTGGATTTCTTTTGGACATCATTTGGAACAATCTGGATTTCTGAATTTGGACATAATTTGGACTGAATTGAATTACTGAATCTGGACACTAAAGCTGAAACGTGCGATTGAAAGACACGTCACAGAAGAATTCATGGCTTGACACAAATGCAGCCTGAAGAAATCAACACGGAGAAGTGGGAGAGACTGTTTTCAAAGCAATATCTGAGAACCATTGACTGATGAAGTTTGGTATTTTACTGAAGATTGTTGACAAGTTTTATGAAAGATCTGAAAATGTTTTATGAGTTTTCTGAGTTTTTTGAAGTACCGAGTGAAGTACCGAGTTTAAGTATTGAGTTATGTATGTTTGTTCTACGTAAATACTGTATGTGTGCTATTTTTGTTGCACAATGCTGTAGAATTGCAAAGAGCATATGCAGTAAATATGTGAAAGACATACAGTACATACATATATATCTCACTAAATACAGTCACAATGAAAACATGACTAAATCATTTGACTGTTGTTCATAAACACTGGTGTCAGGACACAGACACAGACCGTTTCATTGACATGAAGACTTTCTTTTGAGGAATTAAGTTCATTTTGAGGAAGTGACTTTTTAGCAAGTTATCCATGAGGTTTTGCCGATTGCACTAATTGTTCTGAGAAATGCACAAACTGATTACAAAATATATACTGTGCATTCTCAGGGGACACACTGCCATGGCATCTCTTCTGCATTGTCCACATGTGTATCTGTGGACTACTGTAGTACTCTCTTGGAGCTCTCCCTCCCCCGCACGAATAAACAAAGCCCACCCCAGCCCCCTGCTGTTATAAGTCATTACCTAAATTTGCAAATCAATACATGCAAATGTTAGCAGCCAACCTAGCATAGTGTGTATCATCTATGGTATTAAGCAACTTTTGTTAAAGTTAAACTCATCATTCTATCAATGTGCAGAAGCCAGTACTTTTCCCTTGTTTTGTCTATCTGAAGGCCAAGCTACATGGCACTGTGGAAGCTGCTGATTGGAGGTCTCCATGCCTCCGCTCTGTATAATACACTTGTATTCTGTTGTATCTGTTGTTCGTGCTGTCTCTACCATCGACAATAAAACATGTCTTCTGTCTGAATTTAAGACGCGATCCCAGACTTTGTCATCTTCTTCAGGTGGTGGAGAATGCGGGCATTGTCTGTAACATCTAGAGAACAGAAGACTACTTTTTTTTTACACAAAAATGTGTTTTTTTTTTAAAGCCAAAACTGAGAAACCTCAAGAGAAACCATGCGTCTGGACCAGCACACTTGGACAATCTGCACAGCCCCTGATTCCACTCCGGCTGTGAGCTGCTGAGACATGGACAACACCATCGTCCTCTTTTGCATGGACATCATTTGGAACAATTGGATTACACAATTTGGACATAATTTGGACTGAATTGAATTGCTGAATCTGGACACTGAAGCTGAAACGTGTGATTGAAAGACACGTCACAGAAGAATTCATGGCTCGACACAAATGCAGCCTGAAGAATCAACACGGAGAAGTGGGAGAGACTGTTTTCAAAGCAATATCTGGAACCACATCGACTGATGAAGTTTGGTATTTTACTGAAGATTGTTGACAAGTTTTATGAAAGATCTGAACATGTTTTATGAGTTTTCTGAGTTTTTGAAGTATTCCGAGTTCTGAGTTTTTTGAAGTACCGAGTGAAGTACCGAGTTTGAGTTTTTAAAGTATTGAGTTATGATGTTATGTTGCTGTTTATCGATCCTGATGGTCACAGGTGAATGTGTGACCAGAGGGGGGAATGTGAGATTTCATAACACTTTTAAACAACTTTTGTTAAAGTTAAACTCATCATTCTATCAATGTGCAG